TGCGTAAGATGATATTATGTTAAATAAGCTGTAGACTGGATGTAAAATGCGAAACAATTGAGTTTGCGTGTGAATGTGTACATTTTCGAATAACTGACGGCACCGTCAAATCAGCTCATTTTATCCAACTTTAAAATTTGATTAAATCGCACAGAATCATTACCCCAAAAAATCCTTTGGAGATCGAAAAGAACCACACTTCGCCTTCCAAAAGCCAGATTTTCTGTCGATTATTGTATTTACCACATAGCTAGTTAAAAGACGGGTTACTTTTGACCTATTTTTAATCATGTAAGATGAAGGTCGGATAAATTCAACTAGATTGTGTAAATAAACAATCAAGAATTGCTCAAATTGCTGTCAACATATGTACTGATGTTGTTTTTCAAGATTTGGTACTTTTTATCGGTCCAAGTGTTGTCATATTCGTGGCGCGACACTCCAAGATTCGTCTGAATTTTTGGGCTTCAAAAGCGGCATTTTGGCGAAATTCAGTTGTTATCGATTTTCTCGAAAATAAATCGATATTCAGCCAAACGAAGTATGCAGTGCTTTGTTTCTATATAAGGCCTACCCAACTTGAGAATATGAGTGGAATCGACTTTTTGGCTGTTGCCACCAAATGTTTGACCGTTGGTAACATTCGCTCTTAAGCAATAAGTTTTTCACCTGAGGAAACCATTTTACACAATGTGGAAAATATCTTGACATGACGGTTATGTCTGATGCTAGTTACCGCATGCTACTAATTCTTCTCAGTGCTATTACTACAATTAAAACAACAAAAACAATCCCATTTCATTTTTACCTAAAAGCTCTTGTTCTTTCCCTGTCCTCTCGCCCTTACTCCCCAAGGGGCACTCTGTTGCTTTTGTGCAAGCAATCGATTGTCTTGTTGGCATCATTTGTTTATCTTGAGGATATACTTAGATCAAATAAGAATAAGGATAAAGACAATGATAGGAAGAAGGATAGAGACAGGGTTTGGGACAGGCGCATTCCTAGTAACAAGGACAAAGCAAGCGATGTGGAGAGGGAAACGGACAGGAATATTGACAAGAACAGGGCCAGGGCAAGGGCCAAGGCCAGGGCCAGGGTTAGGGATAGTAATAGAGACAGGAACCGGAACTGCGACAAGGGGAGGGACACTAACAGCGACAGCTGGAAAAAGGGATATGGACACGGACAAGGACAAGGACAAGGAAAAGGAAAGCTCGAGTAGGGACAGGGATAGGGACAGGGATAGGGACAGGAACAGTGAGAGTTTCAGGGAAAGAGACAGGGACAGGGGTATGGATAGGGGCACGAAGAGTTGGGACAGGGGTGGGGACAGAGGAAAAGACAGGGATAAGGACAAGGACAAGAGCAGGGAAGGGGCACCGGACAGCGATAGCGACAGGGGTTCATACAGGGGTAGGGACAGCTCGAAAAGGGACAAGGGCAGCGAAGAACACAGGTACAATAATAAGGATACGTACAAGAATAGGGCGCGAATTTTTTTGACAGGTGCCTTTAAATTTTAAACACTTTAAATAATGATTAAAAGCTATTAAAACGAAATTTCGTCTGGAAAAGGCGGAAAATCTTGTTAAGAGAATTTTGGAGGTCTTGTTATTGTTTTTTTGTTAATGATTATTTAAGGTCAGATTTCATGAAAAAGGGAAAACATGCGGTTTTTTTTTGGATGTTACTAAAACTGGTAACGGGGAACGGGGAACGGGTGTACAGCGGTAACCCGCCTGAGAATTCAAAATGGCGGCGTAAAGGGAACTAAAAGGATCTGGCAACTAGGTTTGAGTACGTGCTCTTTGAATGCGATCGTCGGAGCAAAAAGCGTGGACGGTAAGTGTAGGTTTAATTGAAGGATTTTACTTTGAAATGTTGAGTGCCTCATAAATTTAGTTTTTGTCTGGCATACATTGCAGGTTGCATAGAAATCAAATCCTCGAAGAGGTGAGTATCTTACAATTCATGCACAACATTTGAACAATCAACTCAGAACTACAAGCTCGCGGCATTTATTCTTATATTCATAGAGTAATTGTACTGCAAGGTAATGAGGTTTTCCTCCAATATCTTCACCGTTACAACCTAGCAACGTCAATAATGTTGTAAAGCAAACAGCTGAATGACTTTCACGCCCATTATGGGAATCACTTTCTCTTGAATATGATCAATGCAGTGTAAATATTATTAAGCATTAGCATGAATGTGAATTCATACACCTACATTCTTCAAGACATAACTGATGTTTTCCTGTTAAATTAAATGTTATTAAAAGTTCTGTCAATGTTTGATTTCTCTATTGTTTACATGGAAGTTTATGGGTCGATACAAAGATATGTTCCTGATGTTATTTCGCGGTAAGGTAAGCAGATGTCTGCATGTAGTAATTTTAATAACTAGGCTGGTTATTACGTTTCCTAGCTCATTTCTGTTAA